TAGCCGATATTCTCCACGGCGGAGAACATGTGCTTGACGGTGTAGAGTTCCAGTCGTCGATCCACAGAGAAGAAATCCTGCATCATTGGGGTCAATGGTGCCTCCTCCTCCTCCTCCTCATTTTCTTCCTCTTTTTCTGCTTCATCATCACAGACATCGTTACCATCGCCAGTGTCAGCACCACCATCAACAACACCACCTTTCTCCGGATCATTACCATCGTCACCATCATGGCCACCATCATCGTCATCAACACCACCTAGTACATCACCGCCATCGCCACCACTGCGCCCTGCCAACGGCGTGCTGTTGCCGCTGGCAGACAGAGGCGACAGCGACGTGTCCTCGTCATCCTGTGCGAGACGCAGCGGTTTGCAATACGACGACGTGGGCGGTGCCGCTGGAGGCACAAACGCCTTTGGCCACAGCTCATCGCTTGCTGCGTCAAGTTCTGCCTCGCTCGCATCCCTGGAGCCCCTAGATAGGATTGGCATACAAGCACATGTATGCGTGGTGTGTGTGTGTGTGTGTGTGTGTGTGTGTGTGTGTGTGTGTGTGTGTGTGTGTGTGTGTGTGTGTTTGCGTGGGAGGAGAGGGTTGGTGATGTGAGAGGCACTTCAGTCAATGGCGCTCAAGTCAACGACTGCGCAATGAGTGAAACCAGGCGTTCAAGGAGCCCACAACCCCACTCATCCACGATGATCGACACACACACACACACACACACACACACACACACACACACACACACACACAGCGCGCGACGTACAGCGGGAGGATGGTGCCAAAGGCCTGGTACATGCGGAACGGCTGCTCAAGAATGAAGGCAACGATGTCGTCCACATGCGCGCGCCACGTGTTGGTCTCCGAAAGGAAGAACTCTCGTGGTGTTGCATGGTGTGGCGCCACCTGCGCCGAGCAGCCACCCGCACACACACACACACACACACACACACACACACACAATTTGCAACCGCACCAATATCAGAGTGTAAGGGTGAATGTGGGAGAGGATGCGAGGCAGAACACCACTGGACATTTGACATGGTAGCAAATCAAGAAAAAGCAACTGCGTGGTTACATAACAACGTGCACGTGTCACATCTGCTGTTCATTCTTACCGCACAGGCGGCGGTTGTGTATTCCATTGGCCGAATCCACTTCCTTCTTCGACGAAACGACCGCAGTGATGGCTGTGTCACGATGTCGATGATGTGGCGGTCAGTTCACTCAGCATAAAGGCAGTATTCAAGGCACAACCCATTTCCAGCGCAGTACCGCTCTGAACTGTACTACAGCGACAAAGCCACACACACACACACACACACACACACACACACACACACACACACATTCACACACACACATTCACATTCCAAACACACACACATACTCACCTTGTCCTTTGGTGTGGCTGGGTTGCCGTCTGCGTCTGTCCACCTCAGACGATCAACGACGGGGATGCGAGGGACAACCCGCGCTGGCTGCTTGTGAATGCAGCGTTGGTTCTCATACACAGTGAAGTAACGCACATCTTGCTGCTCGGCCGCGTGGTGATCAGGCGCGTCGCGAGCAGACACGAGACGGTGTTGATCGTGCTTCGGTGGCTGCTCGAGGACGGGCTGTGCCGTGGTGTCCGGTATTGAGGGCAGGGTGACGCGAGTCGACTGTCGCGCCGATGGTGTCGTTGATGCGGGGTCCAGCCAGTGAATGAGGCTGTCGTTCTCGCGCAGCTGCCGCTCAAACCAATTTGTTGACGCCTCAGAGTCGGTCGTTGCTGTCGAGGAAGCGGCAGCGAGCCTCTCATCTGCACGCGTCCCGTCATCCCCATCGTCATCATCGTCGTTCCCATCATCATCGTTGGTCGCACCATCGCCGGCATTAACACCATCGTCGTCATCGTCGTTGTCACCAGTCTCTGCAACAGCGATTCCGTTCTCCTCCTCGTGCACGTCGTTGTGCGGGACTGTGGGTGCTGCGTCTGTCTCCATTGCACGCTGCTGCACATCCTCTTGTACTTCAGTGGCAATCACCGCATCACCTCGATTTGATGCACCAGCGTCGTGCACAACAGGAGCATCTTCGCCATCGAGTGGCTCTTCCCCTTTTCCATCGCTCACGCCCATGTGTTCGTCATCAGCACCGTGTTGGTCCGGCACCTGTTCAGCTCCATATGCATGTACATGTGCATGTGCATGTGCATGCGCATCATCTGCCACCTCGGCGACCGTCGCTTCGGTATCCTCCTCCTCTCGCGGGCTGGCGCGTGGTTGGTCCTCGTGCGCGCTGCTGATTGGGCTTGTAGCCGTCGTGCTGTCGTCCGTTGCTGGTGGTGCATCATTTGGGGGTGGCGATAACGCAATTTGCACGTCTTGCACGCCACCGTCATCATCATGAACGGAAGGAGGAGCACACGCTGTTGGTGTGTCATCGTGAACTTGGACTGCATCCTTCTCTTGTTGTTGTTGTTGTTGTTGTTGTTGTTGTTGTTGTTGTTGTTGTTGTTGTTGTTGTTGTTGTTGTTGTTGTTGCATGGTGGAGGCAGGCGCCACCTCCCTGTTTTCGCCATTGTCCTGGTTGCCCTGACTGCTCTTTGCCTTCTTCTTCTTCTTGTGCTTCTTCTTCTTTTTCTTCTTTGGCTTCGCCTTGCTCACGGGCACTGCCGGGATGTCGTGTCCGACTGGCCGCGGTGTTGGCAGCCACTGCTGCGGTTGCGGCGCGCTCGCTCCCTCCACCAGCAGCCACACTGCACGATCACGACGAAAGGGGGAAGGGGAGAGTGAGAATCTGCATTTGCCAACGAATACAATTGTGTAGGTATTCAACAGAGCGTATGTTCGTGTGTGTGTGTGTGTGTGTGTGTGTGTGTGTGTGTGTGTGTGTGTGTGTGTGTGTGTGTGTGTGTGTGTGTGTGTGTGTATTTGCTGCCTGGCACTCTGTTGTTTCGTGACTCCCGTCTCGGCTTCTTCGATTGCTCCACACCACCACGACACCGCCACCAGCAGCCAGCCGACGCGTCATCAGCCACTCACCTCCAACAAGCGTCTTGGCCACCTCCTTGACGTGCGCCTCGCGCTTCAGGAAGGCCGACGCCTTGTAACTGCAGCAGCGGACGCGACGGGTGAGCAAAACAGGAGAAGGCGGTCGATGGCGAGCAGGCGGTATTACCAGAAGCAAGCAGTTTCACTACCACGCCCCAAGCACCATGCACACCCGAAACTCTGTTGTGCCACGTGACGCGTGCAGACACAAGTACGCACTTGTCTGATTCTCGAATGGCGCACGTGAGAATGTTAAAGATGAGCCGATCCCGCAGCACAAAGCCCATCAACCGCTGCACACACACACACACACACACATGTGCAAGCGTGTGTCCACGGCAGCGTGGTGAGTTGAAGATGTTTCACCAACGCATGAGAGCATAGTACGACAGGTGTACTTGTGCGAGAGCCTTTTTCCTCCCTGCATCGCACACACACACACACACACACACACACACACACACACACACACACACACACACACACACACACGCACGCACGCATGCACACACACACACACACACACACACACACGCACGACGCAAACAGCGATGATGGTGAACACACCAGGCATCGTCGCTCAGCGTTGTCCTCGCCACGCTCGATCTTCTCCTTGACCGGGTCGGGAAGATGGGTGGAGAACACATTGGTATACAGGAACGAAGCGAGCTGCACAAGTACATTGCGTTTGAGAGGTGGGCATTTGTGGGGGTCAACATGAAGATGAAGAAGCAACCCCAGGCATGGCAGCAACACTATGGTAAGGTGCAAGCAGCTGTGGCACAGCTGCGTACGACAATGCTCAAGAGTTGGGAGGACATACCCTGCTTGTTCTGACGAAAAACCGGCCTGCAAGCGTACTGTTTGGTAGCTGTCATGCATCACATCTCATCGCACGTGTGAGCAGGATCAAACGCCACAGTCTGAACGTGTCAGCGAGCATGCAACGCGAACACGGAATGCAGCAGGGTGCATGGCAGAGCGAACAGAAAAGAACCTCTTCTCACGAGGCAGCTCTTACCACAGCGCCGTCCATGAAGAGATGGAGCAGCGGCTTTGTAACACCCTCGCTCGCCATGCTGCATCATGAGCCAAGCAAAAGGCATGCCACACACACACACACACACACACACACACACACACACACACACACACACACACACACACACACACACACACACACACACACAGAGCACCGGCATTGTTGTTGTGGTGAGTGTGTGTGTGAAATGAACATGGGTGTACATTCATCTGGTGCAGGAGAGCTCGTGGAGCACGGAGGGAGATCAGACACTTACACAACGCCATCCTGTAGCGCTCGCTGCTGCTGCCGCGCCATCTGTAGTTTCAAGCCCAGCAACCAAAAGATGTGTGGCACGTATGTGAGTTGCAAGTTGAAGCGCTATCGTCGCCATTGTCGTGGCAGCGCGTTGTCACGCTGAATCAACAGGCAGCAAACACAGCCAGTCATAGCGGCAGTGTGAAAACAAGAATAGCAGCCTTGAGCATGGCGCATACCGTGGCAATGTTCTGTGTCAGCTCCATCAGGTATTTGAGTTGGTGCGGCAACTACACGATTGAACGCAGGTCAGCACGATTGAACACAGGTGAACACGGGTGAACAAGGGTGAACAAGGGTGAACATGGGTGAACATGGGTGAACAAGGGTGAACACGGGTAAACAAGGGTGAACACGGGTGGAACCACACTCATACATACACACACACATACATACACACATACATCCACACATACATACACACACACATACATACACACATACATACACACATACAAGCACACGCACACGCACACGCACACGCACACGCACACGCACACGCACACACAATGCAACAACTCAAGGAGGAGCAAAAAGTCAAAAGCTACAGAGCCGCCTTCTGAACACCCAACGCACACACACACACACGCACACACACACACACGCACACACACACACACACGCACACACACACACACGCACACACACGTTGCGTACCATGCACGACATGTGCGGGCCGCTCGGGTGCGGGTGGCTTGCCATGTTGTCCGTTCGTCGCCTTTCGCGTGGTGTGGTCGTGTTTGTTTGTTTGTCTGTCTGTTGGATGTGTCGTCGGACAAGTAAATGAATGGACGCACAGGATGGGAGAAGGACACACCAACCAAAACAAACAAAAGCAGACAACAGTTTCTGATGAGTCAGAGAACTACAGTTTATTCTGTCGTATTCACAAATTTGGCGACACATGACATACAAAAACACAGTAGCTACACGAAGACAACAACACACACATGCACACATGCACATACATGCACACACATCTCACACACGCACGTCACACACACATGCACACATATGCACACACATGCAGCTGTGTCATGTTGTCACTTTGGTGACAGGTGCCACCAACCACGGCTGCGTTTGGGGGGTGGGGATATGTCGCTGATATCCGTCTCCTCCTGCTCATCGTCGTCATCGTCATCGTCATCGTTGATCTCGGCTTCACCCCCAAGCGGTGGCAAACGGGGCGGCTGTCCTGCTTTCGCTCGCTTGTTCCCCTCGCCCGCCTCCTCCCCGTCACCTTTCTTCTCCTTCTTGGGTGCGTGATCTTCGTGCGCAGCGGGGCCGCTACCATCCCCATCTCCATCGTCATAGCCGCTCGCTCTTCGCTTCTTCGCGTCCTGGCCTATCGCGGGCGTGCCATCTTCCCTGCTGGCGATCAGCTGGCTTACGTGGATCGAGGGTGCCGGCTCGGCCATCCTGGTGAGCAGCCCGTCCCGCCCAAGCAGCGCATCCACCAGTGCCCGCCACTTGCTCGACTCAAAGCCGGAAACAAACTCAAGCCGCCCAACCGTCTGCACGCACATGCAACGCCACATGAGCACATGCAAGAGGGATAAAGATGAACACACGCAAAGCGTGCAATAGAATCAATGTGGATGCATACACACACGCACACACACACGCACACACACACGCACACACACACGCACACACACACACGCACATCGCCTGGCTTACTTCGGGCTTGAGAACGCTGATGTAGTCGCGCCACATCCTGAGGATAAAGGCGAGCTTGGTCATGAGGTTCTTGCCCTCTTTGAAGGAGCGCAAAATCTGCACCGCGAGAACCACCAGCAATTTGTACGCAATACGTGAGCGCCTTAAATACATCATCGCTTCGCGGGAACGCGCAGCAACAAACAAAGCACGTCGCACGCTCTCGCATCTCCACAACCCGTAAACACACACACACGCACATATGCACGCCACATATACGTATACACACATATACGCATGCACATACACACACATACACACGCGCACCTTGAGGGAGTTTTCGAGCTGACCCACGTCCTGGCAGAGGAGGAGAAAGCCGATGATGGCGTCGTGTATTTGGAAGCCAGATGTCGGCTGGGTGTGGAACGATGTCTCCAACAGCAGGCTGCGAATCAGCTTCACCTGTGCAGCGCATCATGCACACACACACACACAGAGTGAGCAACCAGCAATTGGCAAAGCAGGCATGTTCAACACATGAAAAAACACGCATGCGCACGGCGCGAAGCAATCGTCGCCTGGCCTCACCCATGTCTTCGGTTTGCGGAAGACAAGTCCGAGCTTGCAGTTGAAGGCTTCCTTGCGCTTTGTGCGGGTGGACGCCTCGTCCACATATGGACGAAGGACAGGTGACACGTGCCCGGCCTCCATGTGCCGCAAGTTGTTCATCGTTGCCGCCATGGCCCACGTAAACCAGAACGAGGCATGCTGCACCCACGTCACGCCACGCACGTCCACAAGCAAACACGCATGCCCGCGCAGTGAGGAAATGGGTATGGCACACACGACACAGCACGATGCAACATCACACAATGCGCATCGTGCCAGCAAACAAATGAACAGTCACACACACACGCACACACGCACACACACACACACACACACACACACACACACACACACACAACACACACACAACACACACACACACACACACAAACAGCGCCGCAGCGTAGCATGCGCACTGACCCCCTTCTCAAAGACGGTGCGGAGAAAGTCGGAGAGCTTGCCGCGGCGCCGCAGGTGGCTGTCCAGCCGAAGCAGCAGTAGCGGCGAGTTGCGTACAGCGTCCCCGAGAATGTCAAGGTCAAAGCTCAACACCATCGAATCACCTGCATCACCACACACAAATCACGAGGTAGTTGTGTGCGCGTTGGTGTGTGAGGTGGCCATTTTGCGCATGTGCATGCGTGCATGCATGCGTGTACCGTGACACCACAGCTGCAGCAGACAACAACGCAACAACACCAGCCAGCCACCACTCAGAAGAAACCATTGTGCAACCGACCGTAATCATGGAAGATCGTGTCCACACACTGCTCAACCAAGCACGTTGTCGACAGCAGCACGCGCTCTGGTTCACGCATGACCCGCAGCAGCGACTGCACAGCGCGGCCCATCTCAAACCTGCACACACACACACACATGGTGTGTGTAAGGATGCACGTCAATATAGTGATGGTGATGGCTGTTGAACGCGGTTGATGTGGAGATGCGCAGCACAAAACGAATCTCTGCACGCACATGCACACACACACACACACACACACAAGTACGCACGCACACACACACGCACACAAGTACGCACGCACACACACACGCACACAAGTACACACAATCACCTTGAAGCGAGACCGGGCTTCTCTGCCATGAAGCCCTCGATGACCATAAACGCAAGACCTTTGCTGTTCGATGGCGAGCGGACTTGGCTTGGGTCCAAAAACGAGTACGACACGTTATCCTCAACACCAAGCATCTCTGCGCGTTGCACGCACGACACGCAAGGCACACATGTTCAGTCGCACACAGGCAGGCGTGAGCCCCACCACGCATGCGCGGAAGACAAACAGCCAAGCACAAACACAAGCGCAAACACAAACACAAGCGCAAGCGCAAACACAACCACAACCACAACCACAACCACGAACAGGAACAAGCACAAGCACAAGCACAAGGCAATCATTTTCCAGTCAGCAGCAGCAGATTACAGCTGCAGAAAGGTGGTGCAGCAACTGACTGTGAATGGCGTTGAGAACATGCTCCTCATAAGACGTGAAGAGGAGGCGCCGAATGTCAATGCCATTACACACCTGCAAATCCAGCACACAAGCATGCATGCAGGCAGGCAGGCAGATGAGAATACACGTTGTACACACACACACACACACACACACTCACGTCGTCGCACAGGTAGGTTGTCTTCCATGCACTGCACACATGCACTGAATACCCAAACACACACCGAACACACACCGAACACACACACACACATATGCACATGTACTCCAAGTCAGGTATGCAGCAGCATGACATGCACTTACGCGGCAGAGGAAGTCGATGGCCTTGGCAAACGACCGCTTCACAATCTGGTCCGGGTTGCACTCGCACGCCACTGACAGCACACACACACACACACACACACACACACACACACACACACACACACACACACACACACACACACACACACACACACACACACACACACACACACACACACACACGTGAGCAGTGTGGGTGATGGGACGCAAGTGGAATGGTGCGAGCGCGAACAGAACAGAACAGGACAGGACAGTCTTCGAGCTCCATCAATCGCATGACTGCATGAGCTGGTGCGTACTTGGATCGCCGTTGTGGTGGTTGTCGAGGTTATGCCGCATCACCCTACACACACACACACACACACACACACACACACACACATTTGACAGCAGGACGCACGTGTGAGCGAATACTTGAGTGCACATGTGTGTGTGTGTGTGTGTGTGTGTGTGTGTGAATCGAGGTTGATGATGAAGTGTGGACCCCTGTTCAAAGCGCCAAATTGAGGACGAGCGGAACTCAAAACAGCCAAAGATAAATCAATCCCGCACACAAACCAAGCCATCTAGGTGTGCAACCCCACATGCCTCTAAGACGACCCAAACAACTCCCCCCCCCCTCCGACCAGCCCAAACACACAACCAGAACACACAGACTCAAGCCTGCCATCCCCCTTCTCCAAATCATGCCGCAGCGTAACGTAACGTACAGTCCCCACGGCACAAGCTGGAAGAAGTCAGCGAGGGTCGGGATGATGTTCGCGCGCACAAGCAGCGTCTGCATCTCAGCTCTGCTCGCTTTATCCTGCAACAGCCCCATGAACAGCCGCAGAAGCTCAGGCTGCAGCGCCGTCGAGGCCGTGGTCAGCATGGTCCAAGCCATCATGGTGGTGGTGCAAACATAAGCGATGCGAGTTGGCATCAAACCGTGAGCATGAATGACCGATAACATACTTGCCTATGACACCACCAATCACACACACACACACACAGATGGCGACAGCGTGTGCACAACAAGCAATACGAAGAGCATGTGTTGTGCTGGCTGGACTCACGGCAAAGAGCCCAATGAGGGACGCCTGCAGCGTGCGATCACGGAAGTAAAGGTCCTCAGGCGACACTTCATCGCCATACTGGTGGTTTGTGCATGTAAGGCCGTGATGAGATGATGGGTGCCAGAGAGAGCGAGAGACGCAACAGTTGTGACTCTACACGACAAAACCCCACATGTTTGCGCTCGCCTACAACAAACACACACACAGCCACGCACACGAGAGAATGTGTTGCTGACACACGTACAGAGTGGCAGACTTCGAGGTACTCGCGTGTGGAGCCAAACTGGAAATTCCAAAAGTTGGTCCGCTCAAGCGTGCTCTGCGCAATCAAATTCGCACACGCACAACACGTGGTCATGAGAGGGGAAACAACCAAGCCAAGAGCACGTATGGCAAACCAATCTCTATCCAAATACAAATAAACAGACAATAGCAGAGACAACAGGACTACGCGACGGTACGCCACACAACACGCAAACAAAACACACACTCACACACACATACACACACACACACACAGTCTCTCTCGATCGACACGACGATCGCACCCGTGACAACTCACACACGGGAAGCAGCAGCAGCACCAATGCGCATGCAGCTCACCACGCCAATGTCGATGAGCCAGTTCCGCACACGGGCAAAGATGTCCTCGGCCGTGTCTGTCGGCTTCAAGGGCTGCACCTCGGCCATCATCTTCTCAATCAGCGGCTGCCGCACGCGGTGGATGTGCTCCGGGTCGCCGGCATCAAACCCGCCTCCTCCATCGTCACCATCATCACCACTGCTGTCACCGCTGCCGCTACGACGGTGCGTCGCGTCTTCGTCGTCATCCATTACCTCATCATCTTCGTCATCATCATCATCATCACCATCGCCACCACCACCACCACCGCCACCACCGCCACTTGCCTGCGTTTTTCGTGGTCCTTCCTGCTGCTTCGCGCCTGCACTGCCCGAGACCGGTGTTGGCGGCTTTGCTGCGTCTTCTACCGTGGGCGCCTCAACGGCTTGTGCTGGAGAAGCTTCGGCGCGCTCACGTGCGCCATTCCCTTGCTCTCCTGTCGGGCGTGGTGCTTGTTGGTGTGCTGGTGCTGCTGTAGTTGCTGCCACCGCTCCCTTGTCATCACCACTCGTGACACCACCAGCAGTGACACCACCACTGCCAACAGCGGTGACGGCACCGCCCGGGCCCGTGCTGCTGCGTCGCCGGCCCTTGCGCGCGTTCATCTGCACCCGGAGCGAGTCGACGGTGCTGTTGAGCGTGGCGGTGAACGTGCCCATGTCGATGCTGGGCGGGAGCGTGGGCGAGATGCCGTCAAAGTCACCCTCATCTCCGCCAACCAGCGCATGCAGGATCGCCTCCTGGTCAAGAGGATCAATAAACTCAAAGTCAATCACATCGTGGTCCTCATCATCCTCGTCGTCATCCTCGTCGTCAAAGTCGTCGTAGTCACCATCCTCACCATCCTCATCCCCTCCTTCCTCACCTTCTGCTTCCCCTTGTTCGCCCGCGCCATCCCCCTCCCCGCCCTCTCGTACACGCGCACCCGCTTCTTGCGACCCATCGCCGTCCCCGCTGCCGTCGTGGTGCGCCTCCTCCTCCTCCTCCCCTTCGTCGTCTTCATCATCGTCGTCATCGTCCCCTTCGTACTCATCGCCCATGACGAAATCCAGCACGTAATCGAGGTCACCGTAGTCCACGTCGTCAGTCATCCACGTGAACGCCCCCTCGCTCCTGTTGTCGTCAATCACGCTGCCTTCCCCAGCACCACTGCTGTCATCGCCTTCATCGCCTTCAGTCATATCAGCATCATCATCGTCGTCATTCATACTGCTGCCGTCATCGTCATCATCATCATCATCATCATCATCGTCATCAAACTCGTCGTTGTGCGCAGCAAGGTTCTCGCGGTTTGAAATCTCATACGCCCGCTCGTCCCCGTCAATGGCTGCCATCCTGCCGCCGCCATAACCGGTGCGCGCGCTGTCAACGAACATCTCCTCCCGTGCCAGTCGCTGCTCCGCCGGCAAATCAGACATGAGCGCAAAGTCCTCAATGTCCTCAACCAGGCCAGGCTGCAATCTGTTTGGTCAGGGAGGAGGAGGCGGTGGTGGTGGTGGTCGGTGCAATTGCAGTCATCGTCATGGTCGTGATTGTAGTGGTAGTGGTGAGCACACTACATCATGCTGATATGCACTGGCCATCACTGATTCACCACGCACACACGCACACGCACACATGCACATACACGCTCACCGAAGGTGCTCAAAGAGCAGCATCATGTTATCCACGGTCCCACACTGCACGCACAACACCATCCGATGTGACATGACAGGCAATAGAATGACATCTGTGAGAAGGCATCAACACTCGGGCGCTTGTTTTGAGGTGCAGCTGGGAACTGTGAATGCTCCCCAATACACATGTACATGTACATGCACATGCACAGCAAGCAAGTGTGCCATTCAGGCAGCAAAAGAAGCAAAGCCGCTCGACAGATCACAAGCAGTTGATTGCACGTGTGTGTGTGTGTGTGTGCGTGCGCATGTGTATGTGTGTGCATGTGATTGATAGACATGCTTCACTCACCACGGGGAGCACGCCCGTGTTTTGTTGCTCGGAGCAGAGGTTGACACAGCACGCGAGGAACGTCAGCCCATACTTGACCAGAGCACGAAGATTCTTGCGCGCAGTCTGCGTGCGGAGTTCAAACGGCGAGAAGGGCCGCACAGGCACACCGCACACCACTGCGCACGAATATGGACGTATTGGGTGCGCGTAGGCACGTGAGGTGCATCCACATTGTTATGATGCCGGCAAGAAACACAAGGAACATCGACTTCACACATCACCACACATCATCACACACCACCACACTACCAGCAGCAAAACAAAGGAGACGATGAGGGCAGCTGCATGCGTGTGTGCGTGTGTGCGTATGTGTGCGTGTGTGTGTGTGTGCGTGTGCGTACGTCGGCAGTGCGTGAGTTCGTCGGTGGTCGGGGGCATGACCTGGTCCGTGATGAGGCGACACGCCACCATCGGCGCCAGCGGGTTCGCAGCGCACACGCGGTTGAGGGTGGCAAAGAAGTGCGGGCGAGAGTATAGTGGGAACATGTTTGGGTACAGCAGCAACATGTCGTCCAGCAGTGACACGACAGGTCTGTACACATTTTCAAATGAGGACACGAATAAAACAAGGAGAGGCGTGAACGGGAGAGGGGAGGGAAAAGCAACCATGAGCATCCAGGCACACACATACACACACACACACACACACACACACACACACACACACACACACACACACACACACATACACACACGCACCCGAAACCGTGGATGTACTGCATACTGTTGATGAGTGCATCGATGAAGCCGGGATCACGCCACATGCGCGTACGAACAAAGCCCTGAAATTGCAGCAGCGACGGCAGCGAGCGCAAGAAGCAACGAGTGAGAACAGTGCATACGAACTAGCACTGGTGTTGTTTGAGGTGGCTGTTGTGGTGTGACACTGTGGGCCACGTACGTTGTGTGATGACAGGTGTCTGAGCGCCTCGCAGGCAATCTCGAGATACAGGATGGCCAGCGGGTCCACGCCAGGCCGCGTCGACGTCTGCACACCTGCGCAGTCACAGCACGCACCGCAACACGAGACACAGAAGCACGGCAAGTGGCGTGAAAAGCTGTGAGACGACAGGCCCTCGTAACCCAAGGGGGCTGACAGACAGGTCGACAGACAGACAGACAAATAGACAGACAGACGACGACGACGACACACACACACACGCACGCACACACACACGCACACACACACACACAAACAGACAGACAGAAAGGTAGGATGCTGGTAGCAAGGTCCATTCACCCCACAAGCTTCCCATCCCCCCGCAAACCTCCCATCATATATGCACATTGCTGCCACGGACACACCATCCTGTGGGAAGTTCTTGATGAATTCTCGAATAGGCTGTTGAAGTGTTGACACGCGCGCATGGCCATGTGGGTGCACATGATGCGAGTGAGTGAACAATAGGGTATTGCAGGCCAGTGGAGCGCAACACAATCGTTGCAATACGTTCAGTGGAACTCAACACGACTCCACAACGACAAGAGGTACACCCATGGTGTGGGTACCTACCCCATCAAAGTTGCCGCGAACGAGGGCAATCTCCGGTACGAGTGGCTGGCCACTGCCAAGGGGCGGCACAGGATGTGGACTTGTGAGGCACTACCGCTCAGAAACGATGGTGAGGCACAAACAGTGGCAGGTCGACCGGTTGTCAAACAAACGACACATGGAAGCGCCCGTAACCTACGAAGTTGGGTGCAAGCTTGTGGTTTCGCCGCCGACCCTGTCCATGAGATCCTCCAGGCATGTCTGCAGCAAATACACCGGTGATTGACAACACGCGAGCGTATAAGAAGCCCATGTCAAACTCAAGGGGCAGTTGACAAAAGCAAACATCTGACTTGTGTGTGTGTGGGGGGGGGGAAGCGAAGGCAGCATCGCACAGATGTGTATGTAGATGTGACAGGGCATGCAGAACAGACTCTTCGCGCTTGTTAGTTGGTCCTTTAGTCGATTGCATATCAGTGGCATGCACCTTGTACTGGTCGAGCTCGTCGCGCGTGGGTTGCATGTTCACTGAGCGGAACTGCAGCAGCTCAAAGCTGGAGAACAGGCGTCCTTTCTCTCCCTCGGGATCACTGTTGCGGTACACATCGCTCAGGACAGAAGAACGCGCCTTCCAACGGGCTCCGTAGTGTCGAGATGCATGGAACCGCAAAGCAATGTTGTTTGTCGCACTGCGTCGACACGCGCGGTAGCCACCAAATTCGCTGCACTCGACCACCAGTGTCTCCTTCTTGTCGTTGTTCGCCTCTGCTTCCTTTCCCAACGCCCCACTGGCACCAGCCGTCTCCTCTACTGCTTCCTGCTGCGCTGCTTGCTGTACTGCTTGTTGTGCTGACTGGCCGTGAGGTGGGCCAGCGGCATCATCGCTGGAGCCAGCACCACGATGAGCAGCAGGTGCTGCTGCTGCTGCATTGCCGTCATGTGCTCGCGCACCTTCTGGCTGCGTTTCGTCCGCCATGCCGATTTTTGGTAAATGATGTCCACAAATCGCCCAAACTTGCCACACAAGCCCTTGCTTGCTTCTGTTGGCGATGCTGTTTGTCCACACACACACACACACAAGCACACACACACACACACACTCTCTCTCTCTCTCCCCCTCTCTCTCTCTGTCGCCGTCTTTCTGTCGCCCCCTCTCGCTTTCGCCTCTCTCACTCTGTCTGCCACAGCATGTGGCTCATTGACAACGAAATGCAATGATGTTGTAATGTAATGTAACGTGATGTGACGCGACATGGACCGAAAGTGGAAGCAGTCGTGTTCATTGGTGCCTGCTCTGTGCGCGCGTGCCCATTACAGCAGTAATTGCAGCAACAATGGGGCATTGTTTGCGCGCTACGCAGCAGGCGGGGCCGACTTGAACGCCTTGATGGAGCGGATGTGAATGGTTTCCCGCACAGCGTCCAGGCAGCGGAAGCGAAGGGTGGAGGTGACCACGGGCTGCGCAAACGCATCCACAATGCGGTTGCCCACCGTCTCTCCGTGCACCGTCTGCGCCACCCACTGGTTGTTGACCAGGGCGTCGATGGCATACTTGGCAATGGTCTGCCCCGACATCAGGTCCTCCCGCGTCTCAACCATATCCACAGTCGCCGCAGACTCTGATTCGGGCAAAAGCGAGAAGAGAGAGGGGCGAGGGAGAGGGAGGGCAGGGACGGAAGGGTGCATTTGATCAAAGACGGCGAAAGTGTGAACAAGAGGGGCTTTGTTCGCAAGAGGGATGCACACACACACACAGAGAGAGAAAAACACACTTACTCACACTCACACACGCACGCATGCACGCATGCACGCACACAAGCACACATACACGCACACACACACACACACAGGCACACATACACGCACACACAAGCACACATACACGCACACACAAGCACACATACACGCACAGGAAAACGCACTCACTCATGCACGCACCGCACCATTCATGTGGACGACGATTGGATAGTCGCAGGTGACGGTGACATTCTCGATGCTTCCGAGCGGAGATGAGAAGGTGGCGCGGACAGCGTCGCCAAACGCAGACACGACGCGCACATACTCATCAGGAATACGGCCTGACCGAAGCAAGGAAGCAACAACAAGTCAGCAGTGGTGTGTGAGAGGGGGTTGAGGTGTTGATTCTGATCACACACACACACACACACACAGACACAAATCCCAACACACAAATCACAATGCCTGGGCACCTGTTGTGTCTGGTGGCAGGTTGAGGATGAAGTTTTCGCCGCGGCCGACAGTGAGCAGGTAGTGGTTCCACAGCGTGGTCGCGTTCCAGTACGCGTGATCTTTCTTCCAGAACCACGCATCGCCAGGGTTTTGGATGGTGGCGTCGGCCTCGCGTGGCAGGAAGAGCCGCCCAAATGGCCCAAACCCAGAGTGCGTTGCGTTTGCGGCATTCCAGACTGGATAGTCGCCCACGCCCGTCTCACCGCCGCCGCTGTGGCTGACATCGGGGCCCGTGCCAATGAGCGTGTTGGGGGAGAGCTCGCGCACGAGTGAGGCGAACGTGTGCCACGCAGCAGGGAAGCAGGTCGGGTCGCTCTGGTTGCGACACGCAGGGCACTCGGACAGCCCGCCGCAGGCGTCGAGGTAGTGATCCCACCACAGACGCGAGATGAACCCGTACTTGGTGAGCACCTCGCGGATCATGCCCAGCTGCGCTGTCACAAACTGCTCCGTCGTGTAGTTCAACACCTACACCCACGCATGCAGCAGCGGTGTGTGAGACGGCCATGGTGTGCGCGGTGTAAAAGTGGTCATGGTGGTCGTGGTGGTCGTGATGTGCATACTGTTCACAACGCAACGTATTGGACTACCCCGCCTTTTCCCACAGCACACGCACACACCTACACACATAAATATGTATATATGCTCACAAACCCTCGTTTGCGCAAGATACCTGTGTAAAGTATCCGTTTGCGTTGGGACCGATGTAGAAGCAAGGACGCACGTCGTACTTGCGGCATGATTTGACAAACGCCTCCACAATGTCGTGTTTGTGTGGGCTCTGCATCACAGTGTAGTTGGAAAACTTGCTGGGCCAAAGGCAAAACCCGCCTGCAACCATCAAGCGTGTGTGTGAGTGTGTGTGTGTGTGAGTGTGTGTGTGTGTGTGTGCGTGAGTGTGTGTGTGTGTGTGTGTGTGCGTGAGTGTGTGTGTGTGTGCGTGTGAGTGTGTGTGAGTGTGTGCGTGAGTGTGTGTGTGTGTGTGTGTGAATGTGTGGGTGTGTGGGTGAATGTTTGTCGAACACAGTTTTGTATCGTCAAGGCCGGTGCCGGCGTTGTGCCTTAGTAGGCACAAGCAATGCACCTTCATGGTGTGCCTGCAAGCGCGCACGGGAACATGAATGAGGATGTCACAGTACGGGGTGAGGGGGCGAAGAGACCACAATATGCATCCTCGCGTTCTGCTGCACTGCGCTCATTCACAAAACACTGTATGCCCGGCTCAACGCACCGTGAGGCAGATTTCCCCTGCTCCCATCGCCTTTGCGGCTTGCACCCATCTGACAAGCAAGCGCACCAGCAACAACAGCAGGAGCAAACAAAGTGGGGTTGAGAGGCAGTACTGCACAGGCACATTGCAGCGAACAAAACTCATTTCATCAGCCAAAAATATGCACATTCACACGCACACGCACACACGCACACGCACACGCACACACACACACACGCACACACGCACACCACACACACCACACACACACACACACACACACACACATTCACACACACGCACACGCGCACACGCACTGGTCTGTTGCGGTGATGCCGTGGGCGTCCGGGCCCATGTGTGTTGGGTTGAACAAGGACGGGGGCAAGCAGGAGCCGTCGACGCAGTCGTGTTCAATGTTGCCAAAGGTGGTGACGGAGAAGTGCATAAACTGGGTCAGCCCCATGTCCATGTACTCCTGCTGCCGCTTGGATGGCCTGGGGATGGTTGCGGGTGGCTCATAGCGATAGCCCGTAGTGACCTCGCCAGGTGGGAAAGAGCTCTTCTGCGCCTTTGGAATGCTGCTTTTCAATGCGCAGCACTTGTTTGGGCCACCAGGCGCGCGCGTGCAATACTTGACCTTTGTGTTGTAACTGAACGCCTGCGTGGGGATGTGAACGTGTGTGTGTATGTGTGTGTGCGGGTGTGTGTGTGTGTGTGTGTGTGTGCGTGGGGATGTGAACGTGTGTGTGCGGGTGTGTGTGCGTGTGTGTGTGTGTGTGTGATTGATTGATTGATTGATTGATTGATTGATTGATTGATTGATTGATTGATTGATGGCCCGCACAAATACAACCACGCACTGCTTACGACACACGCACACACGCACTGTACACTCTGCACACACACACACACTGTACACACACTGCACACACACTGCACACACACTGCACTCACCTGGCACAAGTTGTTGTTGCAGCACGCCCGAATGCAGTCCTGTAGCGTGGCGGAATCCGAAAGCGCCAGCCACTGGAAGTCTGCGCCGATTCGGGTGATGCTTGAAGGATCCACCGTTGTGTTCTTCTCGCACGTCGGCACTCCAACACCATTCAGGGCAGGCACAGCAGCATGCAGTGCCCCTGCACCACCGCACACCACCACCACCAGCTCAAGCGCTGCCAGGAACAGCAGCAGGGCTGCGTACTTCATCTTTGCGTGTCGCTGTCGCCGTTTGTTGACAATCGAAGAAAATTTGCGGTGTCGTGGCGGTGCGGAAGCAAGAAGGACCCTTATGGCCTTGCTCGTGTGGGGATGGAGTGCGCGTTCGTTGGCGAATTCCCAGCCATCAAGTCAAGCAAGCAACGCAGCAGAAACGAGCAGAAACGAGCGGAACACATGTGTCAGCGAAGGACAACACCCAGCGACACCGAAGCAATACATGCCACGGTCCTCGAACCAACTCGGAAGCACTCAATTCGCGTCAGGTCACATCTCTCCACACAAACACACCTCACCTCGGCCACCCTGAGGTCCTTCAAGCAAGCAAGGAAACCAAGCAAGCAAGAAAGCAAGAAGGTATGTGACAAACACTTGACATGGATGGTACTGCTGCAACATTGCTGTACGCGCACTTACACACACAAGCGCACACATGCGCACACATGCGCGCACATGCACACACAACATTCAAAGTTTGATGGGTTTCTGGTGCGTGCAAGACCTTCTGCTGGACTTGTCCTGCCACCCTTTTCACGCACACATACGCACACAAGCGCCCCGCAATTTTATTTCTTCCTCTGCCTTGTTCATGCACACCCAGCACACACTCACGCACACTCACACACATTCACACACACTCACGCACACTCACGCACACTCACGCACACTCACACACACCCAGCATACACTCACACCCAGCACATACTCTTCTCCCGTCGGAGTGGCTGCAGCGGCATTGTCGTGCGTGACGAACCCTTGCGCTTCCGTCGAATCGCTGGTCACCTCCACCCACGCTTCCCACACGGCGCACGCTGCGTCGCGCCTTCACGCGTTGAAACCAGCCCTTAGCCACACGCTTGTGGGAGCCACCGCAGCCCCGCTTGCGCCAAGGGCAAGCAGCGAGCCAACCAGCCGCGCACAGACGGCAGCAGACAGGCAGGCTTCGTGCCTGCGCCTGTGCAGCCCAATCAAACAGGCGATTTGCCAACCCCCTCCCCCTGCAGCCTCAGCAAGCAAAGCACGCAAGCACAGCGCGCGCACACGCACACCCAATGACGACGTGACAGCTTTCCCTTTGTTTTCCACTCACAAACCCCAACCAGAATCTACACGACCACCTGCTTTTCACGACAGCAACAATGCTGCAACCGTTACCTCATCAGTTACACCACCACCACCACTGCCAGCTGCAGGCTTTACAGCAACACGCATTCAACAAGCAGCAGCAGCAACACGCATTCAACAAGCAGCAGCAGCAGCAACACGCATTCAACAAGCAACAACAACAACAACAACAACACAGCAGGATACCAACAGCACAGACAAGTATACGCAGCAGCATACGCAACAGCAGCAGCAGCATGTGCTTTCGCATTGCATCGGCGCTCATGGTGGTGCTGCTTGTGGTGCTGATATTCCACACCAGCCCCATCACCGCCAACCACGACCACACGGGCGTGGTGCGGTTGCCGCTTGATCTTGAGCTGTATGAGGACGTGGACTACGTTGCACGCGTGGACCCCAACAACGAGTATGCGCAGTCGTGTGTACACGATGTTGACGACGGCCGCTACGACTTCAGACCCATAAGCGGGAGCTACGTCGTCAGTAGCAAGGCAGACAAGAGCCAATTCCGAATCAAGTGCGCGCGCTGCATTTGTTTGTACCCATGTCTTGTATGCACGTTGATGAACATCGAACCGGCGTCTGTGTGCTGTGCTTGAGGCGTCGGACGTGCGCGCGCGTTGTGTATCTGTGTAAGGGCTGGACGTCAACACAAGCTTGCCGCCTTCATATGCATGTATGCAACCACCTGTTGTGTGTCACCTCAACATATCTCACCAGCTCACGCTGTCATATGTGCGTGCTCGCTGGCTTGTGTTGGCATTCGTGGTTGTTTGTGTCTGCCCTTGTATGTTTACGCTTGTGTGCGTGTGTGCACAGCCTGTGTGTTCCTCCTAAGGAATGCAACGGCCAGAACTCCACCACAATCTGCCGGCAGAAACGGCTCGCTCGTGAAGCTGGCATCGAAGGTACACCACCAAATGCAAGCCATGCAACCACTTGACATGACCTCAGTTGTGTCTGCATAGAGACACGTGCCTTTGTCTCTGTGTGCCTGTGCCTGTGTTTGCCCATCATCGTCTGTGCTGGGTCCGTGTTATTCCTTCATGACCACAAGCACTGTGTGGCTCCAACTGTACTTGCCCTTCGATCATTATCATCTTTACTGCAACAACTCTGCAAACATGCATGCGTGCATGCGTGCATTCATTGCGCTGACACTCGCATATATGCATGTGTTGCAACACTGGTGATGCAGCCATCATTGAGGTGTCGATGGGATCACAACCCCTGTGGGACTCTGCGTTCAAGCCCAGCGACTATTCCCTCCGCGTTCCATACACAGACGTGCGTCCCGCGTGGTGCTCAATGGTGCTCAGTGGTGCTGCAAGTTCTCATGTCCTTGCCTGCGCCTGTCATGAACAGTTTATGCTGAAGTGCTGAACCCTTCCTTTCTCCTCATGCACTCATCCTCATGTACTCATGTACTCAAACATTTACACGCTCACGTGCTCGCGTGCTCGCGTGCTTCCGTGCTGCTCGCTGTTGATCAGGGATCATTTGGCAAGACGGTGCAGGACATTCAAAGCGCCTTGACACTGGCTGAATTGTTTGCGCACAGCGAGCTCTCAACGAACACGGTGAGTGTCCACGTGCATAACGCTCCAACCCCGCTCGCATTGGCACACAGCCACACACTTGCATGTGTGTGCGTGTGTGTGTGTCGGCTGTACTCATCACCCGTGCACCTGTCACCGCCGTGCTCACTCTGTCACAACTGCTGCGGTGCACAGGCTGCTGCCATTGATGCCGCCGTGGACGAGCTGCGACGCCACGCAACACAATCCATCCCCATGACGGTCCGTGCACATGCGAGCTAACCCTACGTGTGTCGCGTGTGTCTGTGTGTCGCGTGTACGTGGAAACCCTGCTCTTCTCCCTCTCACATGCTCATTATACACGCGTACACACACGCACATACTCAACGCTTGCACGCCATTCACATGCGGCCATGGTTTGGTTGGCGATGCTTCTGGCCGTAGGTTGTGGACTTTTCGTGCGATCCGAGCGTGACTGGCCGGCCAGAGTTTGTCTATCTTGGACCCATTCCCTTGTCCCATGGTACGCACGTTCTCCTTTCCGTTAGGGGGATATTCTGTGCACGGTTTGATTGGATTGGGCAGCACAAACACAACACAAACATCAACATGCACACAATCCATAACTCATGCGCACACACACACACACACACACAACACACAACGTGGACATACACGACCTGACGCACGCGCCGTGTACGTGTGTGCAATGCTCAGGCACGTGGTATGGTGTGGAGCCAACACAGGACCTACCGGCTGACCTCACTGCGGCATACGGGCTGATGATCGCGCACGCGTGCGTGTGCCCAAATGCCACATGCCATCTGCCAGACCCTCCAAGGTGTGTGTGTGTGTGTGTGTGTGTGTGTGTGTGTGTGTGTGTGTGTGTGTGTGTGTGTGTGTGTGTTTGTGTGTGTGTGTGTGTGAATGAGCTTTGCGCTTGGTGTTTTCCTTGTTCGCTCGCATGTTCATTCACGTTGCGTGTAGTTGACATGCATCACGCCATTCTTGAGAGCCCCATTACACCCCCCGTCACTACACCCAAGCACTGACCAAATGTGCGGATGTTTGTTCCGCTTCACAGAAAACCGCCCCGCCCCTGCCACGAGGAGTGGGATCGATACATCTTCAAGAACATCCCTGCCATCGCCATTGTGCGCGCGAACACGTGACCTCCTCTTGTGTGTGTGTGTGTGTGTGTGTGTGTGTGTGTGTGTGTGTGTGTGTGTGTGTGTGTGTGTGTGTGTGTGTGTGTGTGT